AAGAAGAAGAAGAAGAGAAGAACTGGGATAAGATGAGGTGAAAAAAGGAGAAGAGAAAAAAGATGAGAATTCGGGTTAAAGGAGGAGAAGAAAAGAAGAAATGAAAAAAATGGGGAAGTAAGTGAAATCTTAGCTATATATAGAGGCATATTATTTGACACCGCACTACAATATCAAATAACCATGGCGGAAATTTTGAATTAGTGGAAGATATGAATTATTTTTTTTGGAAACAAAGGCATGAGGAGCATGCATTCAGATATTTTATGATGTCAAATAACTCAACATGTTAACCTCATAAAATAGATGTTTAGCTTCTACTATAGGATCATTATTTGACACCGCATTGCGATGTCAAATAAAATGGCAAGAATATTGAATTTGTTACTTTTAAATTATTTTGTATTTAAAATTGCAATATGGTGTCAAATAAGATGGCAAGAAAGTTGAATTTATTTCTTTTAAATTATTCTTGTATGCTTATACAATAATACTATTATTTTGACACCACAATGTGTTATCTAATAAATTTGGCGTAAAATGTTTTGTGTTAATGGGTAATTGTTTGACACCACACTGTGATGTAAAAGTAATAATTGTGTCAAGTAATTCTTTAGAATGTGTTATTTTTACCAAATAATATTTAATACCATACTGTAGTGTCAAAAAATTTCATTTGACATCATTGTTTTATAGCAGTACCAAATATGCAAATATATATGATATTAAATAAATAAATATATATAATATTATAAATGTATCATATGATATTGTAATTATAACATTTTTAAAATTTTTGAAAAAAAACAAAAGAGAAACTCAGAAAGGAATAAGAGGAGACGGCAACGGTCAAAAAGAAAAAAAATCAAAGGAGACAGCTATCTTGAGGAGTCTGTGAGGGGGTTTGATTTTCGAATGAACGCTTTTAATTTCCTTTTGGCTAGCGCAGAAACGCATCATTACACATGTTTTTTTTCTTTAGTACTTTCAGTTTCTCGAGATTAACATTTTTGTCCCATAACTCTTAACTTCATCAATTTGGACATACAATTCACAATTTCAAAGTCTTAGCTTCTTACAGCCAAGTCTAATTTACTTCATTTTATTTATTTTTACCCAGTTAATTTTCAATTTTGTCATTGAAGTTTTAAAATTAAATTTATGGGAGATATATTTTGATCAAAGTTCTAGTAGTCAAAATCCTGTTGTAACAATTGCAATTCTTTAAACATACTCTTTTTTTTTTTTTCTCTTTTCAAAAATGTTTTATTTCTTTAAGTGATGTTTAATTCCAATCTACTACTGAATTTTCAAGATTCCTTAGTTAAATGAATTTTTTTATCAAGAGTTTATGTCAAATATTAATTTAAAACTTAATTTATCAAGGGTTATGAAAGATCAAATCTTGTGATATTTGTAAATAACATATAAAATTATAAACAAGAAATTTGTTCCTAATGGGTGTTTCAAGTGGTTAAAATTTTTAAAATTCTAAGTTAGAGATCTTGAGTTTGAACTTTGAGATGGTGGGAGATTAAGGAAAAAATAAATTATCTTTTATTGTATAATCCATCATATAATATACCAAAATAAATATAAACTAGAAATTTGTTAGACAAAAAAAGAAGAAGATATATTCAAAATGGAAACTGAAAAATAAAGACAAATTTTTTTCTCAAAATCTTACGTAGCTCAAAATGGATTATATATTATCTCAATTGGATCATTACCTCAAATTGAATCCTAAAAATAGATCATATAGAGACAATTCATGTTAATAATGTGTTATGAAAATAGATGAAACCAAAACAAGAGAGAAGTTGAAGAACAACAAAACTTGTAGCTCATCTTTTTTCACATAGAATGGTTACATTTATATATGAAGAAATTGTAACTCATAAAATCAAATTTTATTGTCCAATAATAAATAAATTTCCATTAGAAATATGGAAGAGTAAATGACATTTTAATGTAAGGAAATTATTATTGCTATCTATGTGAAAAGTAACATTGATCAATTGGGAAAGTAATGGCTAAAGAAATTGAAAAAAATTGTAAATAAGAATGTTAATTTTAAACTTTTCTCCTATTTAAAGATGTTAACTTTATAAGTTTTTAAATAAAGATGTTAACTTTCAATTTTTTCTATTTAAGTATGTCAACTTTAAATTTTTTCTATTTAAGGATGCTAACTTTAAATTTTTTCTATTTAAGGATGTCAATTTTCAATATTTTAATTAAAAAATCCATTTGTCATGTTAGTATTATTATCCAATTAATTCTTAAATAGAAAAAGTTAAAAGTTGACATTATTAAATAAAAAAGTTAAAAGTTAATATTTTTAAATAAAAAAAATTAAAATTGACATATCTATTTAAAAATTGACAAAATTAATATTTTTAAATAGAAAAAAAATTAAAAGTTGATGTCATTTACCCATTTTCTCTAAAGAAATTACTGTTCTCCGTTTATAATAGAAAGGTGTAATAACCACTTTTATTTCACAACATAAAATTACTTTTTCTTAATTTATTTTATTTTTAAAATTAATTGAGATAATTTTTATAGTCATTAATTAAAGTAGCAATTAATTTTAAATTGATTTTAGTTTCAAAATTTATTAAATTCCCAAAATTTGATTGATCTCAAATTAGTTTTATTCCTTAAATTTGTTGAAATGCCTAATTATGTTTCCTTTATT